CACTTTTTGGTAACTATTAAGATCTAGGTTATGATTTTTATTTTTAAGGAGGCTAAAATCCATCCTTCATAGTGTGGTCTTTTTCTTTTTAAGAGAGATTTGTTTTTAGTAGAGTAAATCAAATAAAAGATGGCTTATCAATCCTCTGTCTGAACATCTATGACTTAACCTATTTATGTAGAAACTACAAAGACATATCAGATGTTTGGCCCCATCAGCTTTCTTCACAGGGTCTTAGGCATCAAAGGCAGTGTGGTTAGTGGAGTGATGGAAACAGCAAACAGGAAAGGAGACCTCTCCAGCCTTCCTGCTGGACTGTGGTCATGAAACCTGCAACATGCCTCCTTGGCCCCTTGCCCTCGGGCTTCAAACTACCGCTGTTTCAGATGAGACTCAACATAGGGAAAATACAGCTGAGTTTGTGTTAAGTCTGAGCTAGATTTTGGCTTTATCTGCCACCAGGCTCTGCTCACAGTACTCTCCACTTTGAAATTCTGCTCTGAATCCCTACTGTTCACAGCAAGAGTTTTCAAGCTTATTTTCACAGCCCTTTATTATGAAAAGCAGTACATATATGTTGGAGAAAATTAGAAAATACAGATAAGCAAAAAAATATACATAAAAGCCATATATTCTACCAGCCAAAGAGCATCATTTTACATCTTAGTTCTTATCCTTATTGATATTCTCTATTTGATGAATTGTCATCATACTCTCCTTTAATTCTTTAAATATGGTTTCCTTTAATTCTTTGAATATATTTATAATAGCTGCTTTCAAGTCTTTGTTAAGTTCAACATGTGCACCCCCAAAGCAGTTTCTGCCCTTTTTTCCCTATTTCTTTGCATGTCTCATGATTTTTTGTTGAAAATTGGACATTTTAGATCATATATTATAGCAACTCTGGATTCTGATCCTCTCCAGGCTTCTCTCTTGCTGTCTTGTTTTTGTTATTGTTGTTCCTACATTTATTTGTTTAGTGCCTTGGCTGGACTAATTCCGTGAAGTGTGTTTCCCCCATAGCATGCAGCCTCGAATGTCTCTGTGTAGATACTCTTTCCTTGTTTTTATTTTTAAGCCTGGCATCCTGGAGGTTGCCCCTGGGTCAACAGAGCTTGGTCAGCCATTGATGGGCCAGAGATTGTGTTTAAGCCGCCTGAGGCAGTAAAGTTTTCATCCTTTTCCACTGAGTCTGTATGTGGCTTGGGAACACTTTCAAAGTTCAGCTAGTTTACATTTCTGTCCCACCTTTAGCTCAGGGACTGACAGCTGGGAAGTACCCTCTCTGGTCACTCCTGAGTAGTCACGGCCTTGGGCTTTTCTGCAGCCTTCGGGACCACCAGTAGTGACTGTGGTTTTAGCAGGGCCCTCTTTGGCCAGTCTGGCCCCAATTTCTGTGTTAAACTTCTGCTGGTCTGCCTCTACTGGTATCAATAAGCTATTAGCCTCTTTTACTATCCCTTGTGATATCTATTGTTTGCTCATCTTTGTTAACCCTTGTGATATCTATTGTTTTTGCAATGCTCTGGGGCATGGATATTCTACACTCTGGTCCAGATAAAGTGAGCATCCCCAGGCAGGGCTACATACTCAGCCCCCACTTTGATCAGCAAGAGCTGGGGGATAAGGGACTCTGATCTTCTTTGGTTGCCCTGCCCAGTCTCCCTATGATGAGGGAGCTTGGGTGGGGGGTGGGGGGTACTACTGGACAGCTGCAGCCGCCCACCTGGTACAGCTCTCTTGATACAGAGCTGGGGGAGGGGAGGATGAGTGCAGCAGTGGTCTGGGGCTGCCCCACCCACCTGAGTAGATCCCCAGCTATAGGACAGTAGGGGAGGTGGGCTCATCACTATCTGCCAGGCCTGCCTGGAATAGTTCTTCTGCATGGAGCCAGGGGTGATGGGTGCAGCTCAGGGTTCAGATGCCACAGTCTGCCGCTGTTCTTACTGAGTTTCAGTAGATTTTGGCGAATAAATGCGTCTCCATTTCTTGCGCGCCCTTACGTCAGTTTCCAGAGACTTTAAATGGTTGTCCTAGGTAATTTTGACCAGTTTAATCAATGTTTCTTTGAGGGAGAGAATTCATTAAGCTCTTTGTGCCACCATTCTGGAAGTTCTCCCCTGTGGAAGTAGGCTATACTTTATAATTTTACTTATTTGCTTTAACTTACAATATAAAGAAAATAACTGCAAAATGTCAAATTCAGTTATTAACAATAAAACTGCTGAGTGTAGCTTAAGCATTCTGTACCTTCCTTTGTGTCTGTCTCCTCAAACTGTGAGCTACTTTGGGCAGGGCCCGTGTCACATTCACTTCTGTCCCCATCACGCAGGGCAGTATGTGGACGCAATGGTCTTTTCAGCTTAAAAACAAAACTAAATACTATATGTGTTTTTACACTTGAGTCCATAATTACCTTAGCCAGTGGCGTATCTCCAGTAGTTAGCTTGCTGACTAGTTACCAGGCTGGCCCCACGTGGCCTTCATAGTACACACATATGCATACAAACACACACCCACACACTTACCTTTTCCTAACCTTTTCCCACCAACTTTTCTCCTTTAAGAGTGTCCATATGCAAAGCTTTATATATATTTTTAACCTATTAGACTTTAAAGGCACAGTGCCTATGGCCTATACCCTTTCCGGGGAGCAACGAAAATATTTGAGACCTGAAATCAATTATCTGCTGGCTCAAAAATACAGAGAGAAAACTTCAGAACAAAAATAAATGTGTTTAATTAAATATCTATAAAATGTAACATTGGGTCAACCTACCAACAGCAACTGAAACTTAAAAAGTTACATGTAAATTATATTTAAGGTGGCATATGAATATGATACCAGCCCTGATATCAGTTCCCCTACGTTAAACCCAGCATATACAGGGTTAAAATCAAAACACCCATCTCTTTTCCCTACTTAGATCCCAGACCCTTTCACAAAGAAGACATGGTTTCGTAGTGCATTTAATAATGTTTTCTAGCTGACTGGGTAGAGAGATCATGAAACCCCACTGTGTGGACTCAGACTTTTGCATGCTATCCTTTACATTCATCCATTTGCTCACTCAGCAAATACCTGCCAAGCACCTATGCTGTACCTGGGGTTCTGGTGGCTGAGGATACAGTGAGGAACAAGATAACCAAGGCCCTTCCTCACAGTGCTTATGTCCTAGTTGAGGAGTAACATTTTTTAAAAATCACATTAATAAATTTATTACTGCAGATTATAATTTATGTTATGAAGTACAGAATTCTTTGGGGGTGGGTGGTGTATGTGTATCTAGCTTGGATTTACAAGTCAGAAAAGGCTTTCTCATGGATTGATATTTAAGCTGAGGGATAAAGAATGAGTTGGAGTGAAGTGGGGGAGGGTCAGGAACGACCAATGCAGAGGCCCTGCGGAGGGAGGGATTTAGCATCTATGGAACTAGAAGGCAGCCAGCATGGCTGGAGCACTCTGAGCTCGAGGAGGGTGCTGTGAAAGGAGGCTGGCACAGTGGCAGGGTCCTACAGCACCTCAGGGGTCATACAAGGGGTCTTGAATTCCATTCCACTCAAACAGTTTTGAGCATCTAGCATAACAGCATAAAAAGATCTCCATGGAGGGGCCAGCCTGGTGGTTAAGTTTGCACACTCTGCTTTGGCGGCCCAGGGTTCACAGGTTTGGATCCCGGGCACGGACCTACACACCACTCATCAAGCCACACTGTGGCAGCATCCCACATACAAAATAGAGGAAGTTTGGCACAGATGTTAGCTCAGGGACAATCTTTCTCAAGCAAAAAGAGGAAGATTGGCAATAGATGTTAGCTCAGGGCCAATCTTCCTCACATACACATTAAAATAATAATTTAAAATAAGAAAAGCAAAGCTCTCCATAGAAAGTAGATGGATGGGGGCCCTGAGTGGAAACAGGCATGGGGAGGGGGGCAGTTGAAGTAGTAGTCCACCTGAGAGATGACGTGACTTGGACTAGTAGAATCAGGGAAGGGAGAGGACTCAAGAAACATTTGGGAGGTAAGAACAACAGGGCATTGAAAAACACAAACTCTTCTTTAGGTCTATTTCTTGAGACTGTGTCACTACCAGTTCAGTTAAAGTCAAACCTAATACAAATGGACATTGCATTATGGTTTAGTGTTTGATGTTGCATTATGATGTCTATTAACCACTTATCACCTAACTCAGAGAGTAAATGAAAATCACCTATCAGAAAGGAAATGGAATAAATAATACCTCTTCATGTGCTGGATAAACTCTTCGTGCTTCTTTGAAAGTAGAGGCAGAGGAATTGCGGCCCAGGGCAGTGATCCTGGATGTTGGGCCTGGACCAGTTGGGTTTAAATCCTGACTCTGCCTTTAACTAGCTCTGCAACTCTGAACAAATTACTTCTTTAGTTTAAAATGGAGATAACAATCCCTACTTCACAAAGCGTTTTTGAGAATGAAATAACCAATATACAACACCTGCTCATAACAGATGCTCAGTAATTATTAGTTCTCTCAAATTACAGACAGCCATCCTAGAAACAAACCTACACTATTCAGATTGTTTGAGCCCAAGGAGCCCATCTTGGGACCTTCAGGATGATCATCAGTACAAGAAACACAAGTGGGTTTCAAAATGGGTTTCTTGTGTTTCAGCACAAGAAACACAAATGGGTCTTCTGGGTCCCACTTAGACCCATATTTAGAAATATTTTTTTAGAGTTGGAAGAATTTACTTAACTTTCCCTCAATTTACGGATGAAGAAATCACAGTCTAGAGAGGTGAAAAGACTTGCCCAAGAACCCAGAGCTTACTGGAGGCAGAATAGAACTACAGTTCTTTTCTCCAAACACCCAGCATCTCTCTAACATACCACTTTGCCTCATGTGTTTCCTCTCCAATGATTAACTGAAAGAGTTTCTAAGATATCCATGTATCCATTTTGTCTCCTGCTTAAAGCATCAAGAGGGTGATTGCTAACAGTGCTCTTGTGTTCTCTTGCTAGTTACATGCTATGGGAAAGCTTCCCGGAACCAGAATGGCAGAGTTGAAAGCCAAGTACACCTTGCTGCATGACACCGTGATAAGGTGCGCTGTTCGCCGAGGCCAAGATGTCTTTTGTCATATTTATATGTCTTACTTGTGATGGGACCGGTCTTATTTTGCATTCTCGCAACAGCAGACCCTGAGGCAAGGATTTGAGTTCAAGTAGTTTGAGAAGTGATACCAGAAGTTTTCGTGAGAGAGAGGGGAAGTGAGACTGGAAGGGAGGAGTCCAGCGGGGAGGTGTTAATCTGTGGGTCAACTCTGCGGGCAGCTGGGGCTCAGTGTCCCTGAGGACCCTCTGAGTGGCTGTATAGAACACCCGCAGAAACTGCCCACTGAAGGGCGAGGAAACTGGGAGATTTGTCTACCAACTTCCATCCCTTGCTGCTCCGAGGGAGGTGAGCTCCTGGCACTTCTAGCTTTCCCTTTGAGAAGCCAAGCCAGCTCCTACGGCCAGAGAAAGCCCTCAGGCCGAGGCACACCGGTGCTGTTGGTATGTGTGGTAACCGTCCACCAAAACCATAAGTGATTCCCAGAGTGGGCCAAAGGGATTTTGGTGGGACGCTGACATTCTCTGCTACAGGACACTCCTGTGGGACTCTCCCCTCCCCTCCTCTCTTCACCACTCAGAAGTATAGGTTCTAGGACAACCCCAGCCTCATCCACTGAGACTTCTGTCTTTCCTTCTCACCTCTTCCTCCTACCCCAGGCTACTCACCTTAGCCCACTTCCACGCAGCAGCAGGTCAGAACAGGCTTCCACAGAATAATTCAACAAGGTTTCCCAAGCACCTGCTATGGAGCCATTGGGAATCAAGGGGGAAGGAGAGTAAAGAAAGAAGAGGAAGGGGCTGGCCCCGTGGCAGAGTGGTTAAGTTCGCGCGCTCTGCTGCAGGCAGCCCAATGTTTCATCAGTTTGAATCCTGGGCGCGGACATGGCACTGCTCATCAAACCACACTGAGGCGGCATCCCACATGCCACAGCTAGAAGGACCCACAACTAAGAATATACAACTATGTACCAGGGTCGCTTTGGGGAGAAAAAGGGAAAAAAAATAAAATCTTAAAAAAAAAAAAGAAAGAAAGAAGAGGAAATCTGTTCTGCTGCTACTCCTTACTGCTCCCAAGCCTCTCTCTTTCTTTTGCACACGTCCTGCCTTGGAGCCTTGCATGATGTCTTCATCACAAGCCGAGGAGAGACAGCAATAGACAGAAACTCCATCCTGCAAGTCCCCAGCCATCCTCTCCCCCAATCTCCGACCATTACCCTCCTTCTGATCTTGCCCAGAGTCATTTGGCCGCTTTGAGGATGGGAAGGTGGGGCAAGAGGAATGACTAGGAGAAGAGCAGAGCTGCATCCCTGTGCACCCTACACTTACACCCCACCCCGTACTTCCTCAGCTCCATCCAGGCTCCGAACCACCCTCCAGAGCCCACGGCTTTGGCTCCTCCTCCTCCTCCCTAGCCCCAAGCTAAATCCTCATCCTCGCCCCTAATGGAGACTCCATTTCCCACAGCTGGTCCTGCCTGCCAGTGTGTACACATGGTTCTCAAGACTCTGGGACTTGGAGGATGTGGGTGGAAAGTGTGCGGTAATCTTTTTCAACATACTGCACACGGCTTAACTGGGAAAAAACTCCGTGCAGTTCTCAGGGAATCCCTTTGAGCCTCGCTGCAGATACAGGGTTATTGCAACATCTCACCTCTGGATGGCTCCCGTCCAGAACTCCGTAGAGCCTGGCGGATGCTGACTTGGCTGCTTCCTCGCCTGGCCCACAACTCAGTTCCCTGGGCCCCAGTGACAGACAGCAATGCAGGACCAAAATGGGCGTTGTTTCCTCCTGCTTCCAGGTTGGGTTGCAAAACCATTCCTTCCCTTCTGCTACCCGCATTTTATGTTCTCTTGACCCCTAAGTTCCCCCTCTTGTTACAAATACCCACCACTCTCTGCACTCCTACTGCCTGGCGAGTGGGAGAGGCATGAAGTAGCCTCTCCACTCTTGTTGCCGGGGCTGCAGCAGGGCAGATAAGGCGGGGAATGCTGAGCTGAAACTGCACGAGCTTTCCATGGAAACCGTGTTAGAAGAGTCATTAAGTTCTCTTCTGCTGACACTGTATTTCAAGTCCATGTGGGTAAATTACTGTTTGTGTTCTGGCTGGAGCCCTAGTCACCTCGTCCACCTCCTTTCTGGGAGGAAACAGGTACTGTGGCCCAAGCCAATGCCTTACAGTTCCACTGTTGAAGACTCATATTAAGGAGATCAGATAACCTAAGATCTACAAAGTATATTAGCATACAAGGAAATTGAATTGTAAGAGATAACTCCAGCTTTCGTTAATGAAAATTATATGTGTGATCGTTGTAGCTGTTGTTGCTGTTTGGTACCTAACGTAGTGCCTGGAACACTTTATGTCCCAAAAAAATGTTTCTCTGAATGCTGTTGAGCAAATGACATCTGGGAAATGGATGGGAAAATGGGTGGAGCTGGTAATTTCAGTTGAGACAGGCTTGATCAAGTCATTGGGCATCTCTGCAAATGAGCTGAAACCTAAAGATTTCTCCTGGTGAGGAAACTTGGTGGGGAGAGTGCACCAAAAGAGACTACTGGCTTTAAAACAGAAAATGGCATGGTTCTTGCTTCTGAATAGGAGAGATCGCTAATGTGAGGCAACTGGGTTTTGAGAAAGATGAATCCAGTCTGCTGGTAAGGCTGGAGCTGATGCTAGCTTGCAGCATATGTGAGTGGGTTCTAGATGATACTGGAGATTCCATCAAGTCCAATTTCTATGTCCATTCAAATCTGCTTCTAGCCAGATCCTAACCCTTCTCCCTAGATAGGGACATGGCCCTAGAATACAATTGGGGTTGGAGAAATCCCCCTCTACTATGACGTTCAAGTCTAGCTCTATCCAGGCATTGAAATTAGGATCAGAAAACTGTAAATTAATTTATGTCCATAATTTTATAGAGGAATTATTCTTCCTAGTTTCCTAGTAAAGCGTCATTCAAAAACTTTCTGTCTTTTCTTAGTTCACTAAGGAGGACAAGATTTTCCTACAATCAGGTCACGAGAATTCAAGAATCTGAGAGAGCCAGGGTTGCTGGGGCAGTTGAAGGGAGGACCCACTCTTCTCCTTATTATTCCCCCCACCCCTGGAAGTCATGCTCATTCTTCAAAGACAAGTGCAAATATCACATTCCCATCCAACTTAATCCTTTCTCTATCATCTCCCACCATCTTGATCTAGATGCTAGTGGTAGCTCAGGTTGCCTGGTATTCCAGCTACCTATTTACATCTGTCCCTCTCTGCTAGATTTTGAGCCCCATTTGTCTCCAGCACCTGGTACAATACTTCGCACAAAGATGTGACTGAATTGAATTGAGCCCAGGAATGGAAGGAGTTGGGAGCAGTGTGGACATGCTCCCTCCTCTCTTCACTATACCCCAACGGGAGCCGCTGAGGGTATTGAAGGTATACACTTCTCATCTTGCGAATCTCTCTTTTCATGGAACCAGCACGCAAGAGTCAGAGGTCCAGCTGCTACAGGATGCCAAACGTTTCACAGAGCAAATACAACAGCAGCAGTTTCACCTGCAGCAAGCTGACAATTTCCCAGAGGCGTTCACCACCGAGGTCTCCAAGATGCGAGAGCAGCTTCTCAAGTATCAAAATGAATACAATGCGGTGAAGGAAAGAGAGTTCCATAATCAGTACAGATTAAATAGGTAAGTACACAACTCTCTCAAGCACTCTGAAAACAGATATGAGTGAAGCTGCTTCCACGTAAACAGAATTAGACTAAATCAGGAAAGAATTTTAAGGCCGATGAGTATGAGGTAGTGATGTGAAGATGATTACAAGCCTAGTTCTTTCCTTGATTTCCTAGAACGAGCAGTCTCTGAACAGGAAGGTTACACCACTTCTAGAAAAGAGTTCAGGACAGGGAGACACTCGGGGGGGGGTGGGGGGGGGGGGACGAGATTCCTGCTGTGTTTCCAACGTGTCAGGAAAGCCGTAAGCATTGGGAGCCGCAGCCAAAGCACGCACCCCAGGGAACAAGGTCTTGGCACACGCTCTCGCCCACTCTGGCCCTGACGGTGGCCCCTTGTCCTTTTTGCAGTACCAGATCATTGTCTCCATGGCAAGTTCCCACAAAGGCTTTCCAAACAATCCTGGGGAGCTAACGGTCACATCTGGCTTACTCTGTTCTTCCAAGAGAGGAACGGGGACCGCATCTCCAACCTGTTCTCCTCTTACTAAACTGTTCCGTATGATCAAGACACTTAGAGCCTTTTGGAAGACACATTCACTTGTCCAAATTGACAGAATGTTGTTCAGTGAACTAAAGCTGAAATGTGTTGCTAGAAGGGCCAAGCTTATTTCTAAAATCTCCTCTAACATTCCTCCTGTGCAAGGAGCAAGTCAGCGGAAGGGTTTGTTCAGCAAATCACACTCTTTAGATTGAATTTCAAAATGATCGCCACCCAGGTTTTGTGCTTTGGTGAGCTATGTGCTGTGCGAGAAAGCCAAGCCATCTGTCCTAGAATTTGTTACCATTTAAGGTGGCAGAACTTTCTCAGGCTATTTTTAAGAGTAGGTAGATTCCCAACAGAGCGAATATAATTCAGTCCTGCCAAGAGATAAGCAAATGACTTGAGTGACCTTCTGGGGACCTCACAAGCCCTGGGTTTTGAGTCTTCTCTTTGGGGCCTGTTTTTTCGACTGGGGGAAGAAGAAGGCTAGCGAAAACAGGAGAATTATGTTCAGGGGGAAAAAATCTGAGTTCCTTTTTGTCTTTCAATTTAAACTTGTTTCAGGCTCGCCAGTGAGACCTATAAAAAGAAAGCCTAGCTATTTCTGTGCTCTGTAAGCACTCTTTCAGTTGAGAAAATAATGAAATTAAAACAATTGGTGGTTGTTCATTAGTGTTGAAAATATGAATGCTTGACATTTCCATGAAAGGGTAAGAGGAACATAAGTCAGTTGATATTTAAATTGTTTAAAATTTCCAAGTATTCCTGCCAAGGGAAAAAAAAAAATCCAACCAGAACTCTGGCCTTTTAGGTATAGACAAGCAAATTGTTCACTGAGTTACTTGGGGTAGGGAGGGGACCGTGCATAGTGGCCACAGTGAACAAGACCATGGAAAACGCACATTTGCAGAAATGTTTAGTGTGTATTCTTTTTGGATTTGTAACACATAATACTTTAGCTTGGGCAGACTCCCTTGCATTTGCAAATATTAGCAGCTCAAGAATTGACAAACTTATTTTCATAAAAATGATAGTGATACCAAAAGAAATACCCGGAAAGAATTATAGGCTGTGTATTTCATTGGTTTAACATATTTAGTATTACATGCTACCAAAACAAATTCAACAATTCCTCCTCAGGAACAAAGTAGATATTTCCATCCCCACATAAAATTAAAGAAACTAAGCCAGTGAGAGAAGACTGTTCATCCAAATATACAGACGATATTTTTCAGATCGGTACAACAAACTCTCATTTTGTTCATGGTCTCAATAATAGATGCCCAAATCACTAGCACTCCTCCACTCATCTTCAGGAACTTCTGAATCATTGGCAACTACTAAGGACAATATATTGTTTATATACTCTAGAGAAAGGACTTTATAATTTGGTTGATTTTCTCATGTTTTCACATAATATGAACTCTTTAGTAAATGCTAATGTTAATTATAATTACGTGTTCGGTTAATAATTAAATCTGTTACAGTGGTTTCGGTTCTTGGATTAATATTCCCTGATGACCTCAGGAAAGAATATGTAACCTACTTAAGTGAGTTAAATAAATACATTATAAATAAGTAATGAAGTGATGAAATAGGTCCCGTTGAGAACTTAGCTTTGAAACAAAGTAGAAGTCTTTATCTTTCTAAAAACTTTCCTTGAAAAGATTCTCCAATATTCTTTTCAACTTTTTTCTTGCCTTCACTTGGTTGCCTGTTCTGGGCTTCTGCTTTCCAGTAATTTGTAAGATTTGGGCAGCAAATAAATTTTGTCTCTCATGCTGAATCTGATGCATTCTGACAAGTCTCCATCAGCTGGGGAAACTAGGCCACGGCCGTCAGTGCTGCCGCTCGCGGGTGTGGACGTGGAGAGTGGAAGCACTCGTGCTGCACCTGTGCAGGACTGTCCCGAAGTGACCCAGGCTTCGGTGACCGTTCACTCTTCCTAGCTGGTCCCTGCCGTCCCTGCTGGTGCTCACCCAGGGTTAGTGGTTGTTTTCCGTTCTTAGTCCAGTAATAACAGCAAAGTTGGAACCAAGAAACAAACAGATCTGGTAAGAGCGGAACAAAGGGATTATTTTAGCAATGCATCCAGAATTCCAGTATGACAGAGGGGCATACAGGTCACCAGGATTAGCGGTAAGGAAGAACTCTCAGCTGGAACAGATTTTACCTCCTAAACATTTTTTTAAATCTTTCCGGCTCCCCCTCTGGCAACCAAGAACAGAAAGAGCTCAGACCAGGTTTGCAGAGTGCAGGCCTCATAACTGAAAGAGAAGCACCTGAGACACCTGCTCACATCGCGGATCCAACCCTAAAGCTAATGATTCCAGTTTCCCTCCAAGCCTCCCCACCACGGCGACGTTTGAAGTTTTCACGAGCTTCCCATGAGGTTTGATTCCCGTCACAGTTTGAGAACTGTTGCTGCCCACAGTGGTTCTCAGCCCTGACACGTGATAGAATCCTCTGAGTCTTCTCCCCGGGCTCGTCAGGCTGGGCTTGAGCTCCAGAGACAGGAGCTCACAGCCTCCCACAGTAGCCACTCCAGCTCTGGGCAGCCTGACTCTTAGCTGGTTATTGCTTGCGTTGGTTCAGAAATCTACCTTCTTACAGCTTCCACCCATTCAGACTGGCACTATTCCTGATGGTGAGCGACACCTCTTGCGTGTGCACCTCCCTGCATTGTCTCTTCGCCCACAAGTCCTTAAAACCAAAAGCCTTTGATGGTGTGGTTTCAGTTAGGACTCTCTAGCTGCAGAGGAGAAATGAATCCTGAGGAACTTTGACACTGAAGCACCCTTTGGTCAGGAAAGCTGAAAATGTCAGACAGATTTCAATTTTAATGTCACTTTAAAAGGTTAGGAGTTACATATCATGAGACACAATTTTTTTTTTTTTTTAATCCCAGCAATGCCACACAAAAATGAGAATCCAAAAGGAGAAAAAAATATAATGCATAAAGATTATTATTTATGAAAGTGAAAACTTGAAAGCAATCTAAAGCTAAAAAATAGTGGGGCTGGTGGCATAGTGAAGTTCACGCACTCCTCTTTGGCAGCCCAGGGTTCACAGGTTCGGATCCCGGGTGTGGACCTACACACTGCTCATCAGGCCATGCTGTGGTCATGTCCCACATACAAAATAAAGACAGACAAGCACAGATGTTAGCTCAGCGACCATCTTCCTCAAGCAAAAAGAGGAAGATTGGCAACAGATGTTAGCTCAGGGCCAGTCTTCCTCACCAAAACTAACTAAATAAATAGTGGAATATTTAAATAATAATATATCCCAGAGGCAGCTTGATATTGAAAAGTGCCCTGGAACCAGATAGAGCTGGGTCTGAACATCGGTTCAGCCTTGGCCACGTGACTTTCGGAAAGGTGCTAACCTCCTCTGCTGCTTCATCTGTACAGTGAAGACAACAAGACCTGCTTAGCAGGGTCCTGACATTTAGAAACAATGCATATAAAGTACCTGGCATATAGTAGGCTCAGTAGATGATAGATAATATTTAGGATATGTTATTATGGTACATCTACCCACTAGAAAACCTCGAAACCAACTATTAAGTTATTAATTATGAAATCTGTTTTGTAATTGGGAAAATATTTTAATTACGTGTTGCATAAAAATGGATTCCTATATACACATTTAATATAATTTTATTAAAAGATACAAGGAAAATAAAAATGACCAACTGTGGCATGATGGGGTGCAAATATGAATCATATATTTCTCTATAAATAGAAAAGTATGCATCTTTTAAAGGAAAAAAGTCAATCAGAGTTTCTTAATAAAAAAGAGAGAAATGCATGATAGAAATGTAATTAGTTTTTAAAATCCTAAAGAATGAGCCATTTTCTTTGTTTAAAGAGAAGATCATCTTATATTGATTTAAAGAAAAGACTGAGACTTCTCTTGTGGGAGAGCTTCATGTCACCATTTTGAAACTCGCTCAGGTGGCCTTTACAACCAGAAGACGGCAGCACACTACCACCCCCTGGTGGCAGCATGGGGGAGGCGTAGGATCTATAGCTTGGAAGTAAAATATCGTCAATTTATATGCAAGCTCTGAAAGCAAAGGCTTAAGTATTCAAAGCTCTGAAAAATTCACCTTCAGCTTGAGGCCCGGACAGCTAGCCTATATTAAATTCCATGTGGCACATACTTATTACACTAACCTTAGTTTACATTATTACAAATAAAATTTCATAAAAATAAAACCAGGTGTGCGTGCTCCATGTTCCCAGACTTACTGGACAGTGGGATCTGCTTATTTGATGGACCCAGTGGAAGCTGTTGCAGTGATCCAGGCAGCCACTAGTTCACTGCAAATACTATAAAGAAGAAAAGGCCCAGGGCCTGCCTGGAAGGAGCCAGCGTCTAGTGGGGGAGGTCGTGATGAGATAACTGCCTGGTGGGTGTGTGTACTCAGCATTGTGGGATGGGGAGGGAGCACCTAAATGGGCCTGGGGGAGCCCCTGAGGCCATCCCACAGAATGGACACCAGGCTGCCTGGCAAGCAAGCATGGGGAGCACATTCTGAAAGAGAAAATAGACAGTTATTACTACAGAAATAGCTTACTCTTTTGTTCTTTGTCAACCTTGTGGTTTTTGTTTTTGTTTTGTTTTTGCAGCTTAACAGAAGAAAAAAACCTCATAATAAAGGAATTCGAGAAGATACCTAAGCCAGGGGTAAGTCTTAGATAGTCTAGAGATTGTTAAATACAGCTGGATTCAAACATCCCTTTTGATAATCTTAATGTTTATCACAACAACCATCCCCTAAAACATTTGAAAGATCCCAAAGCCTTACTTACGGCTGATGCTGAAATGAATATCTCCATGACTTCTGGAGTCAGCCTGAGTGGTACCTATTACAGGCTTTAGCTGTCTGGCATCTAGTTTAGGCTGTGTTTAGTTGGACAATATCTGCTTTGTTTCCAGAAGAAAAAGGGATTTTGTGGTTGGCACTTAAAAATGTTATTTTTATGGGCGCACCTCAGACTCTGCTCTGAAGGAAGAAGGAGATTATGAAGGACCCGGGAGCTGTGACAATAATGGAGTGAGATGAATGCTAGTGTGGCCTGTTGCTTTCAATTTCATTGCTTCATAGACTTGGGGTGTTTGGCACAGCCGACACAAAATTCCTCCACTATCTTTATTATAGTTGACATGGGCCTTCTCTTGGCAATTTTGCAATTTGCTTTTCAAATAAAACATGTTAATAGTAAAAACAAAACATTTTTTGCTGTGGCTATTACTTCGTAGCGTGCTGAACGTCTCAAGCTTATTACAAGGAGTTTTTATGAAGATGTATCACTTATCTGTTCCTGCATAGCAAACGGCCCCCAAACTTAGTGGCTTGAAACATCAATTATTTCTCGTTCTTCGCGGTTCTGAATTCTGGTCTGAGCTGGCTCAGTTGGGGCTGAGTGCTCCAGCATGGCTTCACGTGTGTCAGCCAGTTGGCAGGCTAGTCGGTCTAAGGTCACACGTCACTGTTAGTCACATGACGGTGGAAGGGTTTCCAGCCTCAAGAAAGAGACAAACAGCCTCAAGAGAGTGCAGCCCCAACACACAAGCACTTTTCAAGCTTCTCCTTAAATCATTTTTGGAATATTTCATTAGTCAAAGCAAGTCACACAGCCAAGTCTAGAAGCAAAGGGTGGAAAATAGCCCTACCTCTTAATGGGAAGAATGACAAAGACATACAGGAATAGAAGGAGTTTGTGTCCATTTTTTGTGACCTAGCATACAAAGTAAATAGGAAGATCATCATACTTGGCATTGCCTCCACCTTCTTAATGGGTATATTTCAAAAGCATGTTGTTGGGGTTTTAATTCCCAGGCACAAAAACGTGCTTAGCATAGAGTAAAATACTATTTTATATATATGTATATATATAAAATATATATATATGAATATATAGTATATATGTATATAGACAATTGTATATGTGTCACATATAATATATGCTATTACGTAAGTACACCTAACCACCATTTAGAACACAGATTTTGTGGGAAGAAGGATTTTGAATTTCAGTTCCAGATCATGGGAACTAATTTTACCCTCTCCCAGGAGCAGAGGAGGAGGAAGAAGTGCACAAAGCCCAGAGCAGGTTCAATGGCTCCATCCACTCTGTCATTAGTAAGGTGCACACTTGCCAAGTGTGAGGAGGTTTCTCTCTCTCAAGTCAAACATCCTCAAATAATTAATCATGGGAAACAAAGGTGTGTTATGAGTCTAGAGGAGAGGGCATTTGGGGAGAATGTATGTGAATTGTCAATAAGAAAGTAGGAGATTAAGAAGTGCAAAGGGTCAGGAATTCCAAGTATGAACTCCCTAATCTTTGATTCTCATCTGTGACTCCGGTTAACCATAAACCAGATAATCAAAGATTATTTGCCTCTGATTTTGTCAAATCACAAAGCTACTAGAAAATGGGCTGGGAATTTCCACTAAAGCTCTTCGGTATGAAATAAAAATTAACTCAAAAGAAAAAAAAAGAAAACATTTAGAATACAGGAGGACAGAAAAGAGCACTAGTAAAAAATGAGTTTGAATTTAATGTAAAATGCTTAATACATGCAGTACAACTGTCATGCCTTTAATGAAGATGTCAGAAATCATAAACTGCATTTAAATTTGTAAGAAATTATTCACGAAGCTCAAAAAATATAATCAAAATGGTGAGTAAAATTATTTTTAATTCGAATTTTAGGTAGACAGATGTTTACTCAGACTCTGTATAACCTGGTGATTTTCATGACTTTTAAAGGAAATGGAGAAGAAGATGAGAGTGTTGAAAGAAAGCACTGAGGAATTACGGAAGGAAATAATGCAGAAGAAATTAGAAATTAAAAACTTACGGGAAGATTTGACATCGAAGCAAAAGCAATTAGTAAAGGAGCAGAAGGAACTAGAAGAATTGTTAGAGTATCAGGTCAACCTAAAGGTGTGCTATGTGCAGTTCGTAAATGTTTAAAAATCGTGCCCGCGAGGACATAAAAGTGCGTGGGCGTCAAGAGGGACTGCTCACTCACTCTTTTTTTTGATAAACAGAGCTCTCATCACACAAACTGAAATCCTCAGCACAGTGATTGAACCAACCAAACCCAGCCTGGGCTCTGGCAACTCACAAAGGACTTTAGAGCATTTGGTAGAATCTCTCCAATTTGGAGCCCTAAGCTGGGGGGAAGGCCTCTCATCTCTCTAGACCTCATCACACATTTTTCACTGTTAGAAACGAGTGTCACAAAGACAATCACTTTCTTGAAGAACAACCAAATGTCCTAACCTCTTCTGTATGTTTTTAGAACTTTATCCTTGTCTGTTCGATTCTACTCCACTTCCCTCCCACCATGAAAGTGATGAAGAGCTTCTGTTTATGTTTTAGGAGATAATTAAAATTCATTTTATTTTGAAAAACATATAATAACTCTCAAGACAACTTAAATAACAAAGAGTTATTTTTAAAAATAACATCTGAGATCATTGTCTTAGAGGACAACTATGATACCCTTTGACCTCTTTTTCCTTAAGAGTCTTAGAGCATGGGGCCAGCTGGTGGTGTAGCGGTTAAGTTCGCATGCTCCGCTTTGGCAGCCAAGAGTTCTAGGGTTTGGATCCAGGCACGGACCTACACACCACTTATGAAGCCATGCTGTGGTGGGGTCCCACATACGAAAAATAGAGATGGACTGGCACAGATGTTAGCTCAAGGCCAATCTTCCTCATCACACACAAAAAAAAGGCTTTTAGAACAGTTGGCCAAGATGTACCCAGCTGCTACCTGGAACATAGAAACTGAGCAAAGATGGATTTACAAGGAATCTGATGAAGTGAAAGCTTCAGGCCCCTTACCTGCATGAATCTCTTCCAAGGCCCTGTACCTAATTTAGCATTTGTAATTTTTTTATTCTTTTCCTTAAAGAGAACCCTCCAATTGTATAAGTTTCAGCCTCACAAAATTTGGATCTGCCCCAGGACTGAGCAGGACCCCAGGGAGAAATGCACCACGCTTCAGTGATGTGTTCAACCTCCACACATATGTGTTACCCCAGCCCCCAAAGTCCAGGGTGATCCTCGGGCAGAAAGGGGCTCTTCTCATATTCCTTGCCACTCACATAATACCCTTGAAGCTAAGACGGAAGCTTCCGTGAATCCATAGAGCAGAGTGGAAAGTGGCATAGGACAAAGTTTGCTTTTGATCTTGGCCTTGCCAGTTACTAGCTGCATGACTTGGGGAAGTTATTTAACTTCTCTGAGCGTGAATCTTAGGCAGGGTTCCCAGATCACTGGATTAAGACCAGCATTCATTGAGGGAGAGCTCTAAGGAGAATCCGATAGGGCAGTGAGGGAAGCAGCAGAGAGCTGGGGAAGAAGCTGGGCCAAAATATGGTTTCAGAAGAACTCTAGACTCGGGCTGATCTGGTGGGGAACTCTAGACCATGAGCTGCACCGTAGACGCTGTTCCGCTCAGAGGCGGGGAGGGTGGCTGTTCTATCACCACAACCGTTAGGTTAGTCGTTGGACGGAAGCTACTCGCCTCTTCTCCCCTGCCCTCCCTCCACCTCCCTGACAAGGCAGCTCTGCTCAGCCGGTGGCAGTCCTGAGAGGGGAAGCACGTGAGCTGTTGGCAGCAGGCCTGCTCTCCCTGAGGGATGGATGTGCCTCCGCGAAGGGACTCTGAGCAGGGCACCATCAGGCTTTGTTCCACTCAGTTACCTCCTCTTTAAAACTGCTAACAACCATGAGCAAGGTCATTGCAGCCTTCAAAGGAACAATGAAAGGGCCCTGCACGGTCCAGGCCAGACAGTGCGAATTCCACACATCGTAATTCTCGTCTCTCTCCTATTTAACTTGCTTGTCTTAACTGTTTCTGCTCCAAGACTACATAATTTAACATGGTTCCATCTTTCTACTAGGATGAAGTGGTCCACCACCAAACCATTCCTGTACAAATTGGAAAAGAGATAGAAAAAACAACACGCAAAAAAGTGTATGGTTTAGTATTTTTATTTTTAATCCCTCCCAGCCCACTCTCCCCCAAGTTATGTATGCATGCTAAAACAAGAAGACTAACCCCTGAATGCATTAAACTACTGTTAGAATTTTAGAAATACCTGCATTTGGCTCTGTCTAGAATTTGTGTGTCACGTTCATTAAAAGAAAGTAGTGCTGCATATTACTATCGTTCATAACACTTATTCGTGTCTTAATTTGGGGACAACATTCTCTTTCCAATTTATAAATCTTGTCTTTATGGAGAACTCCAGTTGACTTTAACAGAGCTGTGCAAGGGATAAATTATTTGGACTGTGTAGGATTTCATGGTCTAGAGCTATGTCAGCGAGCCAGAAGCCTAAAGCCCAAATGTTGTCACTCTTCCTTTTCTGCCTATTCACATGCGTGACACCCCCAGACATTCAGAGTGGATTTGGAGGCAGAAATCACTGAGGAAATTCTCAAAGATTAGAGGAACCAAAAAAGGTAAAGATGAGTGAAGCTACCAACATTCTGGAGAAATAATATGGTTGCTCTGGTGGCTGAACTTAAGAGAGAGAAAAGAGGTGGGAACCAGTAGAGGTTCTAAGAGCCACGCCCAGCAGCACCAAAGTCAAGAAATTGGGGTCAGTCCAGGGAGGCTGGTCAGGAGAGGGTAGAATCGTAGGAGATGGTAGCAGTCGGGGTCTGGGGAGAAAGTGGGGATGCTGGGCGAATCCCTGCCCTCAGTGGCAACCAGTGGAGATGCCCTGTAAGCTCCACTCTTCCGCGCTCTTCCCCCAACTTCTGAGATCACTGAATTTATGACTAGCTCTGCTGTTGTCTGGTCAGGAAGCAAGAGTGGGTAAAGATGGCATGGCCTCAAAGTAAGGCAGACGTGTGTGTGTATGTGTGTGTGTGCGCACACACTTATGTATGTATGTATGTATCTGTGTTTAAGTGCATATGTCTGTGTGTATGTCTCCCCCGCAGAGAAATGGAAAAGAAAAAACTTGTCTTAGAACGTGAACTCAAAGAGCTAAATGACTCCCTAAAGAAAGTTGAAAACAAAATTAATGCTGCAATGGAAGAGAAGGAGGAAGTAATAAAGGAAGTTGAAGGCAAACGAGCTTTACTCGAAGTCAAAGAGCGAGAATATAACCAATTGGTCAAGCTATTGGAATTAACCAGAGAGAGTGAAGCAACTTCAGTAACTGAGAGGTTAGTTATATTTATGTGTGTCTGTCATCTAAATTTTTCTTAGATTTCTATTTGAGGATTCAAAACATAATCTCAAATAGATTTATGTTGATTCCGCAAACAGTTTATAGAACTTTAAATCAATTTTTACTATTAATAAAAAACATATTATTAAATAAAGCACTTTGAAGTATTTTTTCCAACCCTTACTCATCGTTTTCCTCAATTTCCTGTGACCAAATCTGAAGGACACAATCTGTTGTGTTTTTGTAACTTTCCAAAATGTGCCTCTGGAAAATTCTATCACTGGGGTGTGTTGTAGTTGGGGGATTTTTCCTGCAAATGAATGGTACTGCTGAGGTCATCGTGACTTCTTCCTGGTAGGAGCAATTTCGTGGTGTGAGTCCCTGGGAGAGTGTTAATTGCTATTTTTAAGTAAAATTTCAGGGAAACTGGAATCCTCTGTCTCCATCAATCTCCTATTCCATTTGGGTTTTTTAAAATAAAACTGTGACTAAACGATACCAACTTACAAGCAAAGTTGCTTTGGGCAGTATTTAAAATTTGGTTCTGACGTGAGGATGGTTCTGGATGTGTATGCAGAGCATGCTCTCTCGAAAAACATGAAGGGCAGTTGATGACAAGTCACTTTTCTGTTCTCTCTTTCCCTGGAACAGAGGGATCTTGGATCTCAATTTACGAAACTGTCTCATTGACAAGCAGAACTACCATGATGAACTTTCTCGTAAGCAAAGAGAGAAAGAACGAGATTTTCGAAATTTAAGAAAGATGGAGCTGCTCCTGAAAGTGTCCTCGGACGCACTCACTCAGACACAAGCCCTGCATCGAAGGCTGCTGTTGGAGGTGGGCGTTGCATACCTCTGTCTGATTCTTAAGCTCAGTGCTGTCTGTTTGAAGTAAAAATATTTTAAGAAGTTGTTTTTGCGGTCAATAGAGAAAGAAGAAGAAAGAAAAAGAACAGAGAGAGGGAAATTTTTAAATGCATCAAACCTATTATAAAGGCTATGTCCTATAGTTTTTTCAACCTCTCTTTGCTAGCCCAAGATTAGAGAAATGTCTTGTTTGGATCAGAGATCAGCCTGGCCAGGGGAAACAGGCCATCGGGTCCTGGAAGAGCTGAAGGATTCTCTACAGGTTAGGACCAATGGGAACCACTGTCTTTACCAGTTGAGAGAGTCAGATCCAGAATGGTGCCGTTGTAGATGATAACTGTCAGGGACCAGATCAAATCATGTAAATGTGGGTGCTCAGTCGGCCTGCACCTCTAACCAGCCAAGGGCCATCTGAACCCAATGTCAGGCCACCTAGCTATTTCTGTGCAGTGTCAGAGACGTACTCCAGTCCGAGAATGCTCAAGACAGCTGTTACCTTCTTATACCTCTGAGCTCCCGAGTGAGAGTTTTTGGTCCTGTTGCCTCTGACTCTCCTCTGTCACGTGGCACTCCCTGTGCTAACCAACCAGGCATGGCTGAAGCACAGTGGATCCTCGAGGGGGCTGCATCCTTGTGCCGGAGACTGGGCCAGTGCTTCCTTTGGTGAAAAAGAGACCGCTCTCTGAGTTGAAGCAGCTGGGTATATAGAAACCCTACCCAGACTCTGCAAGGTTGTCATGTTCCGTGATCTTATGGAGGCTCATGACCTCGGAAATTTAAGCAGGAGTTCCCAACTATGGTAGACACTTCTGATCCTAACCCGTACCTAACTCTCCTCTCCGTCTGAGCTTATGGAAAGTTTATACTTCCTCACACCCTTTGCAGTTGAGCAGGGTCATATGACTAATTCTGGCCAATGGATTGTGGGCAGAAGTGACACGTGTCACTTCCAGCCTGGAGCATCTAATGCCAGTGGGAGACCCTCTAGTTCTTTTCCCCCTCCTGTGGCAATTGTGGAAGTACATGATGATATGGAAGTGCTGTAAAATGGAAGCAGCCAGGGATGCTGAGCCAGCAGTGGTCGTGGAGCATCGCCTTGACTGGCCACAAGCTTTGTCAGAGCAGGAAATAAGCTTTCCTGGTTTTGAGCCATGATAGTTGGGGTTGTTTATTTCTGTAGCGTAACATAGCCTATCCTGACTGCCAGATCAACCTTTAGCAAGGTACAAAAATAATTAGTTAGGGCTGTGAGTGTTCCTACTGACTAGGTCCTGGTCTTGCTGTCAGATGGCAGTCATGACATTTTTCTATCTTGATGGGGTGAAATGTGCTTTTTACACTCTTGCAAAACAAATAGAACAGTTACTTATGTTTCTCACATACTTCTAATATTTTTATTACAATTCCAGCAGGTAGATTGATTCTTTTATCACTGTGAAGTCTCTTTAACTCTAGAAATGCTTTTTGCCTTAAAAGTTTACTTTGTCTAATATTAGTACGATATCACTTACACTAGCTTTTTTTGGTTAGATTTTGCATGGTATTTCCTTGCCATCCATTTACTTTCATTCTTTCTGTGTCCTTCTTTATGTGTGTCTTTCATATGTAGCACCTACTTTTTAATATCTGGTCTGAAAATTTCTGTCTTTTAATTTTTGTTTAGTCCAAGAACATTTAATGTAATTGTGGATGCTCTTGGGTTTATGTACACCATATTACTATTGCTTTTCCTGTGCCCCATCTGTTTTATGGTCCATTTTCTTTATCTTTCCTTCTTTTGGATAATCAAAAAGATGAATTGTTCTATTTCTATTCTCTATTGTTCTATTTTCCCCATTTTTGATATGTGTTATTTTCACATTCTCTTTCCATTCTTTGGGTGATTACTCTAAAGATAACAAAATTCATCCTTGACTTATTAGAGTCCAGTATAAATTATACTTTTATGCTTCCTTGACAATGCTAGAACCTTTGAAGACTTTAATTCTATTTACCTTTGCAACTCTTATGCCTTCAAACATATTTTTTAATCCAACTTTTCAAGTTATTCTTGTTGGAAGCATTGGCTTACTGCAGGCTCTTTCGTCTTAGCCCAAAGCCTAGCACATTAGGATGTTAAATTGGAATTTTGGGTAAACACAGACCCTGTGGCCATTCCACCTCAATCATAGTGAGATTTACGGTAAATAGCAAGTAGAACATTTGTTCCAAGTATTGGTGGAAACCTTGATATGATGAATTGGAGGCTCTTAAAACCAGAAAGTCTTGCTTGTATTGATAAAACAATCTCTATTTATTGACCAAATAACCATAAAGAATATTTCTTTAAACAATGATAGGATAAAAATTATCATTACCTTTAATAACCTATTTTGGTGATTCTGGTAGTAAGTAAAGTTAGTCTGTTAAATATGTTTCTAATGCTGAATCAACAAAACATTCCCCTTAAAAGTGAAGAGAAGGTAACCTAAAGAGAAGCACTAAGATAACCTGTCACAAAGAGAAATCCCTCTTAGTGATCTCAAAAACAGTTATACATTGATACAAGTCACCAAATTGGTTCTAAAAGATGACATACTCTAAACAAAATGAAGTTTGTCTCTACAAGAAAATCTGAATTAAGTAAAATAAAAGGGACACATAAGCATAATATAAAATGTAATTCTGCTATTTCTACTTCCAGTTACAACATAAAATATTACAGTGGACCATGGTTCCTGGCATAATAGCCAGAAAAAAATGGATAAACTAAAAATCACATGTTTTTTAAAGACGTATGAGAGTCATGGGAAGTAAATTCCACGAGAGCATAAGCAGAACAGAGATGGGCAGCCTTTTTCCTCCCTGGGACATTTGCCAAGTCTAGGCACGGGCAGGTAGAAGACAGCCTTGCGGTAGAGAGAGAGACTTTACTGGGGTTAGGCAAAACCAGCTGAGCTTTCAATGACCATGTGGGTTAGCATGACAAATTGGAATGTCGGGGGTTTCTTAATCGAAGACATCAACCTCTCATGTATAATACTACACGTTACATATACCTCTGCATTTATTCATGGCTCCTATCGACTTCCATTTGGCCTTGAGGAGAAATACAACTCGAAATCTACACTTTAATACGGTCCTCTCAGTGACTCAGGGGGTTTTGCTCTCACATTCACCATCATGTTTTAAGTGTTGGAATATTATGAATCCGTAAGGTTATCCTCTTTCTAAACAGAAAACCATTCCCAAGTCTGTGACAACAACAAAAACCTCTAAGCAAGTAAATATGACACTTTCTGTATGGTACATGTTGAGCACAGCACGGTGCAGGTTATCAATCCCAAGGGAGCAGAACACCATGCACCACTTAGCAATCCCAGGGGAGGAGGCCCATTGCATCTTGATACTGGAGTCACAAGGGAAAACACAACACAGTCAAGCACTGGATGGAACAACACTTCACTTACGTAGAGAAGAGACAGAGCAAGGTCAGCTTCAGTAGTGGACATTGGTCCCTCGTAGCCAGCGGGTCTCTCCTGGTGGCCAATTCAGGGTGATTGGCCTATGCTCATTCCTGTCATGCCACAGTGGAAGGAACCCTGACCCCTCTCTTGTGGAGCATGAAAGCTGAAAGCCGGGGGTGTGCCTGAGGGCCATTGACACGCATGCTCAAGCAGAACAAAGGAACACTCCTTGTGCCTGAACAGGGAAAGATAGTCCCACAGCAGGTGATACGCCGAGCACAGGCTGTGTGGTGAGGAACGGTTCCAGGCCCAAAGCCCGTTCTTGTGTGGCCAAGTGGGGGTGGAAAGGCTGCATGCAGAAGACTGCCTTTCCCACTAGTACAATTCCCCTTATTTGTAGTTTCCTGGAAGTTTCATCTCTCTTTGCTCTGGTTTAGAATGGATCTGCATTTTTCTCTCTTCATGACTCATTTCCAATGTTCACAGCAATTGGGACAACATGCTGTATTGATGAGAGCATCAGCTTTGAATCAGGCAGAGTCAGGGTTAAATCCTCCGTCCATTGAGCTCCTTCTGATGTTGGGCATTTCCAAACCTTTGAACTGGAATTTTTGCAAGGAATGAAAGTGTAAAGGCTGTGGTACCTGGAAGATGGTACCAAGAAGGAAAGGTTGCTTTCCTTCCTTTATGCGTGTGACCTTTTTCAAAGGTTAAAGAAAATTTTATAGTTAGGATAAGACTGTGAGTATGGTATTTCATTCCTGTGGAGACGAGTGTGCCATCAGGCCCTATTAATAAACCTCAGAGATGTGTCTCAGTCCCCACTGGGCATCATCTGGCTGACTGCAGCTGCCCACCAGCTTTCTCCCCTGGTTGTATTCCTTCCACGTCCAGTCTATCCTCCATTTTGCTACCAAATTAATATTCTTAAGGGATGCTTTCATGTGTCACTCACCTGCTCAAGACATTCAATGTTCCTTGTTTCACATAATCGTAGAATGAAAGAACTGAGAGGAGTCATAAAGATCTAGGGAAGGCAAATAGGTTTCATCTCAAATACCAGCTCCCTTCAGCTGGTGGTAGCTCCTTGTAAATGACCATGTTACAAAGGATTCTGAGACTCATTGCTGGCTTACCAGCTCTGTCATTGATTGCTGATGGCTGCCTCAGCTGTAGAATGCAGATGACAGCACATATGCCATGCATTTCCTATTCCTGATCGTCTTCTACCTTTACCTGATTCTTGTGGTGTATCTTCATATTCTACGTAATATGCTTATAATGCTACTCTTTGTATTTTCAGTTTCAGACCTGACTTTTTTACTTCTCACTATAAAAGATGAGAAGTAAGCTTTTTTTATAGCCCTGTTCAGCACACACATTTCTTGTCCCTCCTTACACTGAATAGCCTTGTGTCATAATTTTGGCCAGTTCCAAATTTGATGTTTACATTATTATGAAGATGTAAAGGCTATTCACACCTGAGTCATGTAACATTATATAATTACTTCATCCTTACAAAAGT